TTTGAAGGGATGTGATTTAGCTTTAGCTTCCTATTATGTGAGTAGAGGGTTGGCCTTGGATGATATAACACACCTGATGAAATCAAGTTTTGTGTCCAATTCTGACGATATAATAAGCTACAATAAAGACAAAACATTCAATAAAAATATCTTCTTCTTTGACAGAATCAACGTTCCATTTCCCTGTGATTGTATCCATGATGAGTTTCTGGGGCATGTGTTTGAGTACTCAGCTGCTGAAGGTGACACCTATGATTCGATTGCCAAAGTGAAATATGCCGATCTCACCACTGTTGAGCTTTTGAGGAGATTCAACAGTTATGGCCAAAATGGTATACCAAAAAATGCCAAGGTTAATGTCACGGTCAATTGTTCTTGTGGGAACAGCCAGGTTTCACAAGAATATGGGTTGTTTATTACCTATCCACTTAGGCCTGATAATAATTTGCATGATATTGCGAACGAGGCTCATCTTGATGCACAGTTGCTGCAGAATTACAATCCTGGAGTCAATTTCAGCAAAGAGAGTGGGATTGTTTTCATTCCAGGAAGAGGTACGCTCTTCTCTTCTGTTGTAAATTACAAGACAAAAATTCAACAACTCTGATCAAAGTATCTTTCTTTTGGTATTATCAGCATGTTGGGGGTTAAAATAATCACTTTGTTCTTGTTCAAAGCATTTTGGATAACCTTTTATGCATTTGCTTGACGTTTTAGTTTTGTTTAACTTGCCAGATCAATTTGGAGACTATGTTCCCTTGCACCCTAGGTGGGTAACTTTGATTGTCTCACCTTTCTGCTGAATTATGCACATACAATTGAATGTTGCTGCATCTTTGATTCTATCCTTTTAACTTAATTTTCTTTTCCATATTGCAGAAAAACAGGTTTGGCTCTCAAACTTCATAGGGAGTTGGTTGTGAGAAGATTCTTTTCAGCTTAATGTTTACATAAATATGATAACACAAAGAAAAAGTCAGTGTCTCATCTTAAATTGACTTCTGTATATAAGCAGGTCTAGCTACGGGTGCTGTTGCTGGAATATCCATAGCAGGAATATGCGGTCTTCTATTATTAGTAATATGCATATATGTTAAATTCTTCAAGAAGATGGAAGGAGAGAAACCTAAATTGCCAACAGAAAAATCTACGGCGTTTTCAATTCAAGATGGTACGGTTAAATTTTTGTATTCATACAAGACATATCTTTTAAACCATTCACATAACACATTCTTAGTAATGGGGGAATGTTAGTGCCATACCCCTTATTTTCATTAACACATTCTTTTCTTAATCTTGCATCCCTTGTAAAAATGCCTGTTATTTATCAACCTGTTCAAAGATTACATGTCATCAACTCTTGCATATTCCTAGAATTTGATATGTACTAGCTTAATGGCCATGGTACTGCTTATGGATTTTTCTTCCTCTTCCGAGTACAGCCTCTGGAAGTGCAGAATATGAAACTTCAGGATCCAGTGGGACTGCTACTGCTACTGGCCTTACAGGCATCATGGTGGCAAAATCAATGGAGTTCACATATCAAGAACTGGCAAAGGCTACAAATAACTTCAGCTTGGAGAATAAAATTGGTCAAGGTGGATTTGGAGCTGTGTATTATGCAGAATTGAGAGGCGAGGTACATACATTCATAATCAATTTTATAACATAATCAGACAAAATACCAGTAAAGGAACACAGTTTTACTTTTAGCCAAGTGATGTAATTGGTGACATATAAAGGCTTTTCCCTGGTGATTGATATTTTAGAATATAGATTAGAATAATAGATATATGTTTAATTGTAAGGCTTTAAGTTCATTACATTGTGTATGAGATAAATAAAATAATCAAGTGTATAAGAAACAAGTAATTTCATTGAATAAGCAAGTTTTTGCTTTTAATTCCATTTCAGGTTAACCATTTACCTATTTTGCTTTACTCATCATTTTTTTATATGCAGAAAACTGCAATTAAAAAGATGGACGTGCAAGCATCCACTGAATTTCTTTGTGAGTTGAAGGTCTTAACTCACGTTCATCACTTGAATCTGGTACAACATCCTTCAAACAACTCCAAGCATGTGTATATCTGGGAATGATACTTAACCATTTTCCGTAAAGTCTGAATAACAATTAGTCTGTTACAACGTAAAAATTCTGGGTGATTTCGTGAACAAGAATTACAAAACAGAGTCTGTAATTATCCTGAAAAGTTATTTCTGCAAATCCAAGTGATAATCCTACAAATTAACATGAAACCTTCATTACTTATGTGACATGCAAAATAACACCTGTGAGATCTTATCTTACTTCTGTGGTGGTAGTTTGAGCGTCAACGGAGTTTACTTTTTGGGCTAAACAGTTCCAAGAGTGTTCTATATCTTCTTCTGTATTCATATAACTACCTTTCATGTAAACCACAGGTGCGTTTGATTGGATATTGCGTTGAAGGATCCCTTTTCCTTGTGTATGAACATATTGACAACGGAAACTTAGGCCAATATTTGCATGGTACAGGTGAGATCAGATTGGGTTGATGCATGATTATCTTTGTCTGTGATATTACCTTACTGTGGAACGATCAATGATGGTAATAATAACATGATTCCAGGGAAAGATCCTTTGACATGGTCTAGCCGAGTGCAAATTGCTCTAGATTCAGCAAGAGGCCTTGAATATATTCACGAGCACACAGTGCCTGTATATATTCATCGTGACATAAAGTCAGCAAATATATTAATAGACAAAAACTTCCGTGGAAAGGTTACACTTCTACCACTCTGCATAAACCTGATTTTCCCATTCTTCTTGGAGACTTGATAAAATTTGTATGATTTTAAATACAGGTAGCAGATTTTGGCTTGACTAAACTTATTGAAGTTGGAAGCTCCACACTTCACACTCGTCTTGTGGGAACATTTGGATACATGCCACCAGAGTATGATTTGTTATTTTGTGTTAAATGATACCACACCTCTATATGAAATTTGGATTTAGTTCAAGAAAGAACATGTGTGTTATCTGTATTATTAATAGTAGGCCATCTTATTATTGATGAATCACATGCTTATCGTATTGATGAACAGATCATAATCATAACAGTATGGGAAATATTGATTAATTAAGTAGTAAAATCAAATTCAGTTTTCAGAACATATCATTAAGTGAACCTGAGCTTGGACTTTGACTGTTTAATTGATCAGACTATTACTCAGTTCATTAATTATTTCTTTGTAATTTTTGCAATGACATGACTAGGTATTTTTGTCCATGGATTAATGATCTTATCTCAATTATGGAATTTTATTGATTATGTGAATTTTCTGCAGATATGCTCAATATGGTGACGTCTCTCCAAAAGTAGATGTGTACGCTTTTGGAGTGGTTCTTTATGAACTGATTTCTGCAAAGAATGCTGTTCTGAAAACAGGTGAATGTGTTGCTGAATCCAAGGGTCTTGTAGCTTTGGTGAGTCTTCATGCTCGGAATCATTCTACTAAAAAACACTCTCAATTCACAAATTTACATTTCAAAGACAGTTAAGAGAATACACCCACCTGAACAGAAATGAAGTTACCCTTCACTTGTTTTGCATTGCAGTTTGAAGAAGCACTCGATCAGAGTAATCCTTCCGAAGCTATTCGCAAACTGGTGGATCCCAGGCTTGGAGAAAACTATCCAATTGATTCAGTTCTCAAGGTTGATTTTTTTTTTCTGTGAAAATAATTTGAATGTTTATATCTTACACAGTTTATCTCAGCCAAAACTTAGTATATTGATTGTTTGAGTTGCAGATTGCGCAACTTGGGAGAGCTTGTACAAGGGATAATCCACTACTACGCCCAAGTATGAGATCTATAGTTGTTGCTCTTATGACACTTTCATCTCCTATCGAGGATTTCGACGATGAAACTGCTTCCTACGAAAATCAAACTCTCATAAATCTACTGTCTGTAAGATGAAGGTTCTTTAAACCTATTGCACCGTGTTTTCAATGACCTTTGAAAGCAGGTGTGTAAGGTTTGACAAGTTTGTACATGAATGGAATTGGGATTTTAAAATTTAGTTTTGTAGATTTTCTTCTATCTGATTTGATAACCTTCTGTGTCGTATTCTTCAAATTCTTTCGTTAAAAATTTTGGATTAATTTTTCTCTTCACGAGGAGCTTTAGATTCTTTGGGATTATAATCTCCATCTTAGAAAGGCCGATTTTATATAGACTTTAGTTAGAATTGCATCAGGATTACTGAAAAGTGAAGAAGTAAACTTAAATCTAATTTGAATGCCAAATTTTCAGGGGAAAGCGGAAAACATCTATTTATCAAGATTTCAATGATAAAATCAAAGGTGGTCTAATTTTGAATAGTTTACGTGCAAAGCAACCTTCTTTTTTTTAGTAGTAAGTTTAAGCTGTCCGATTGTACAAATTTGTAGTTCAATTAGTAAGTTCAAAACCTTTCCTTTTTTATTATGAAGCTCCTAACTCATTTTCTTGTTCTTGGGTATCAAATATTACAAATATTTAATAAAATAGGGCTAATTAGAAAATTTAACAATACCATAGCACAAATGGTCCTAAACATATTTATAAGTTTTTTCAATAAATTCTAAAAAAAGTGTTCAAAAGATACTGTGTAAAAGATCCTTATTTGTATGTGCAAAATAACAACAGACTAACAATATAGCTGTCCAGTGTCATAACAATGGAGCTTTAATGGCTGGTGACAGTCTTGTATACATTCTTTTCTTCATATAGGAGAATACTCCGCTGGGGACGAGAATCCAAGAAGAAATGGGAAGCAAGAAATGTTCAATTATAAATAACAGTTTCTTTACAAACTGTGTTGGTTAACATGCATAAAGTGAAGATTCCAATTAGACATTGATATCGTTGAGGCTTATGATTTCCACGTGCATAACATTACTATAAGATCCAGAAAAACCTACCCTTGTATGTTATGTCATGATCAAGAGAGACGCTGAAGAGGCTCCATGAACATGGAAGAAACGAAGTGGGTGGTCCAAATCAACGAGGAGCTCAAGAATGATGGTATCTCAGCAGTGTATGAAAAGGAGCAATGGCAGAGGCATTCCATATACAAGATACCTTCACGAGTCACTGCATTGAACGAAAGGGCGTACAAGCCTCAAGCAGTGTCATTTGGTCCTTATCATCATGGGGAAGAGCATTTGAAGGACATGGAAGATCACAAGCATCGAGCTCTGCTCCATTTTCTCAAGAGGTGCAAAAAGCCTATTGAGCTTATCTTCCACTGCATGGATCAAGTGGTTGAAGAGTTGAGAGGCTCGTACAATCCACTGGATGAAATCTGGATGCAGGACAGAGCAAGGTTCGTGCAGATGATGATTGTTGATGGGTGTTTCATGTTGGAGATTCTGAGAGCCAATGATGGTGTTCCGGATGATTATGCAGACAATGATCCTGTGTTTGGACAACACGGGAAACTTAATGTGGTGCCATATATCAAACGTGACANGTATTCATACAAGACATATCTTTTAAACCATTCACATAACACATTCTTAGTAATGGGGGAATGTTAGTGCCATACCCCTTATTTTCATTAACACATTCTTTTCTTAATCTTGCATCCCTTGTAAAAATGCCTGTTATTTATCAACCTGTTCAAAGATTACATGTCATCAACTCTTGCATATTCCTAGAATTTGATATGTACTAGCTTAATGGCCATGGTACTGCTTATGGATTTTTCTTCCTCTTCCGAGTACAGCCTCTGGAAGTGCAGAATATGAAACTTCAGGATCCAGTGGGACTGCTACTGCTACTGGCCTTACAGGCATCATGGTGGCAAAATCAATGGAGTTCACATATCAAGAACTGGCAAAGGCTACAAATAACTTCAGCTTGGAGAATAAAATTGGTCAAGGTGGATTTGGAGCTGTGTATTATGCAGAATTGAGAGGCGAGGTACATACATACATAATCAATTTTATAACATAATCAGACAAAATACCAGTAAAGGAACACAGTTTTACTTTTAGCCAAGTGATGTAATTGGTGACATATAAAGGCTTTTCCCTGGTGATTGATATTTTAGAATATAGATTAGAATAATAGATATATGTTTAATTGTAAGGCTTTAAGTTCATTACATTGTGTATGAGATAAATAAAATAATCAAGTGTATAAGAAACAAGTAATTTCATTGAATAAGCAAGTTTTTGCTTTTAATTCCATTTCAGGTTAACCATTTACCTATTTTGCTTTACTCATCATTTTTTTATATGCAGAAAACTGCAATTAAAAAGATGGACGTGCAAGCATCCACTGAATTTCTTTGTGAGTTGAAGGTCTTAACTCACGTTCATCACTTGAATCTGGTACAACATCCTTCAAACAACTCCAAGCATGTGTATATCTGGGAATGATACTTAACCATTTTCCGTAAAGTCTGAATAACAATTAGTCTGTTACAACGTAAAAATTCTGGGTGATTTCGTGAACAAGAATTACAAAACAGAGTCTGTAATTATCCTGAAAAGTTATTTCTGCAAATCCAAGTGATAATCCTACAAATTAACATGAAACCTTCATTACTTATGTGACATGCAAAATAACACCTGTGAGATCTTATCTTACTTCTGTGGTGGTAGTTTGAGCGTCAACGGAGTTTACTTTTTGGGCTAAACAGTTCCAAGAGTGTTCTATATCTTCTTCTGTATTCATATAACTACCTTTCATGTAAACCACAGGTGCGTTTGATTGGATATTGCGTTGAAGGATCCCTTTTCCTTGTGTATGAACATATTGACAACGGAAACTTAGGCCAATATTTGCATGGTACAGGTGAGATCAGATTGGGTTGATGCATGATTATCTTTGTCTGTGATATTACCTTACTGTGGAACGATCAATGATGGTAATAATAACATGATTCCAGGGAAAGATCCTTTGACATGGTCTAGCCGAGTGCAAATTGCTCTAGATTCAGCAAGAGGCCTTGAATATATTCACGAGCACACTGTACCAGTGTATATCCATCGTGATGTAAAATCTGCAAATATATTAATAGACAAAAACTTCCGTGGAAAGGTTACACTTCTACCACTCTGCATAAACCTGATTTTCCCATTCTTCTTGGAGACTTGATAAAATGTGTATGATTTTAAATACAGGTAGCAGATTTTGGCTTGACTAAACTTATTGAAGTTGGAAGCTCCACACTTCACACTCGTCTTGTGGGAACATTTGGATACATGCCACCAGAGTATGATTTGTTATTTTGTGTTAAATGATACCACACCTCTATATGAAATTTGGATTTAGTTCAAGAAAGAACATGTGTGTTATCTGTATTATTAATAGTAGGCCATCTTATTATTGATGAATCACATGCTTATCGTATTGATGAACAGATCATAATCATAACAGTATGGGAAATATTGATTAATTAAGTAGTAAAATCAAATTCAGTTTTCAGAACATATCATTAAGTGAACCTGAGCTTGGACTTTGACTGTTTAAATGATCAGACTATTACTCAGTTCATTAATTATTTCTTTGTAATTTTTGCAATGACATGACTAGGTATTTTTGTCCATGGATTAATGATCTTATCTCAATTATGGAATTTTATTGATTATGTGAATTTTCTGCAGATATGCTCAATATGGTGACGTCTCTCCAAAAGTAGATGTGTACGCTTTTGGAGTGGTTCTTTATGAACTGATTTCTGCAAAGAATGCTGTTCTGAAAACAGGTGAATGTGTTGCTGAATCCAAGGGTCTTGTAGCTTTGGTGAGTCTTCATGCTCGGAATCATTCTACTAAAAAACACTCTCAATTCACAAATTTACATTTCAAAGACAGTTAAGAGAATACACCCACCTGAACAGAAATGAAGTTACCCTTCACTTGTTTTGCATTGCAGTTTGAAGAAGCACTCGATCAGAGTAATCCTTCCGAAGCTATTCGCAAACTGGTGGATCCCAGGCTTGGAGAAAACTATCCAATTGATTCAGTTCTCAAGGTTGATTTTTTTTTTCTGTGAAAATAATTTGAATGTTTATATCTTACACAGTTTATCTCAGCCAAAACTTAGTATATTGATTGTTTGAGTTGCAGATTGCGCAACTTGGGAGAGCTTGTACAAGGGATAATCCACTACTACGCCCAAGTATGAGATCTATAGTTGTTGCTCTTATGACACTTTCATCTCCTATCGAGGATTTCGACGATGAAACTGCTTCCTACGAAAATCAAACTCTCATAAATCTACTGTCTGTAAGATGAAGGTTCTTTAAACCTATTGCACCGTGTTTTCAATGACCTTTGAAAGCAGGTGTGTAAGGTTTGACAAGTTTGTACATGAATGGAATTGGGATTTTAAAATTTAGTTTTGTAGATTTTCTTCTATCTGATTTGATAACCTTCTGTGTCGTATTCTTCAAATTCTTTCGTTAAAAATTTTGGATTAATTTTTCTCTTCACGAGGAGCTTTAGATTCTTTGGGATTATAATCTCCATCTTAGAAAGGCCGATTTTATATAGACTTTAGTTAGAATTGCATCAGGATTACTGAAAAGTGAAGAAGTAAACTTAAATCTAATTTGAATGCCAAATTTTCAGGGGAAAGCGGAAAACATCTATTTATCAAGATTTCAATGATAAAATCAAAGGTGGTCTAATTTTGAATAGTTTACGTGCAAAGCAACCTTCTTTTTTTTAGTAGTAAGTTTAAGCTGTCCGATTGTACAAATTTGTAGTTCAATTAGTAAGTTCAAAACCTTTCCTTTTTTATTATGAAGCTCCTAACTCATTTTCTTGTTCTTGGGTATCAAATATTACAAATATTTAATAAAATAGGGCTAATTAGAAAATTTAACAATACCATAGCACAAATGGTCCTAAACATATTTATAAGTTTTTTCAATAAATTCTAAAAAAAGTGTTCAAAAGATACTGTGTAAAAGATCCTTATTTGTATGTGCAAAATAACAACAGACTAACAATATAGCTGTCCAGTGTCATAACAATGGAGCTTTAATGGCTGGTGACAGTCTTGTATACATTCTTTTCTTCATATAGGAGAATACTCCGCTGGGGACGAGAATCCAAGAAGAAATGGGAAGCAAGAAATGTTCAATTATAAATAACAGTTTCTTTACAAACTGTGTTGGTTAACATGCATAAAGTGAAGATTCCAATTAGACATTGATATCGTTGAGGCTTATGATTTCCACGTGCATAACATTACTATAAGATCCAGAAAAACCTACCCTTGTATGTTATGTCATGATCAAGAGAGACGCTGAAGAGGCTCCATGAACATGGAAGAAACGAAGTGGGTGGTCCAAATCAACGAGGAGCTCAAGAATGATGGTATCTCAGCAGTGTATGAAAAGGAGCAATGGCAGAGGCATTCCATATACAAGATACCTTCACGAGTCACTGCATTGAACGAAAGGGCGTACAAGCCTCAAGCAGTGTCATTTGGTCCTTATCATCATGGGGAAGAGCATTTGAAGGACATGGAAGATCACAAGCATCGAGCTCTGCTCCATTTTCTCAAGAGGTGCAAAAAGCCTATTGAGCTTATCTTCCACTGCATGGATCAAGTGGTTGAAGAGTTGAGAGGCTCGTACAATCCACTGGATGAAATCTGGATGCAGGACAGAGCAAGGTTCGTGCAGATGATGATTGTTGATGGGTGTTTCATGTTGGAGATTCTGAGAGCCAATGATGGTGTTCCGGATGATTATGCAGACAATGATCCTGTGTTTGGACAACACGGGAAACTTAATGTGGTGCCATATATCAAACGTGACATGCTTATGCTCGAGAATCAGTTGCCCTTCACGGTTCTTCGTATATTGATTGAGCTTGAGAATGACACAAACCAGGTAACCGATTGCTGTTTTTTTATGCAGAAGGAGTGTAAATTACATTACATGTGTCTAAACTGACTCGGAAATTCGTATATATGATAGGGAGAAGACTTACTGTTGAAGCAAATGTTGAAGTTCTTCTCCGCAGGCACACCTGAAACAAGAACCCTAGGCAAATGCACGCACGTGTTGGACGTCTACAGAAAGAGCCTCATCTACCAAGGACCCACTCACCGAACTCGAGTCTCCAAACCAAAACGCAGAAGAAGGTTCCACGACGACGACGAGATCATCCGCTCCGCAACAGAGCTCCAGGACGCCGGAATCCGCTTCATGAAAAGCCGCACACACAGCCTCGGCGACGTCTCCTTCGGCGGCGGCGTGCTTCGGCTCCCAATCCTAGTGTTTGACGACACCACCGAGTACATGTTCCTGAACCTGATCGCCTTCGAGCGGCTCCATGCTGAAGCAGGAAACGACGTCACCTCGTACATATTCTTCATGGACACCATCATAGACAGCGAGATGGACGTGGCGCTTCTACACCGGAACGGCATTCTGGTGAACGCTCTCGGCAGCGATAAGGCGGTTGCGAAGCTGTTCAACTCGCTTTCGAAGGACACTGCTGTGGATCCGCATGGAGTTTTAGATGTGGTGAGGATGAGCATGAGTAACTACTGCAAGAAACCATGGAACATGTGGCGCGCAAATCTCATTCAAACCTACTTCAGAAACCCTTGGGCTATTGTATCGCTTGTTGCTGCGGTTTTTCTCTTCGCCCTTACCATTATCCAAACCGTTTACACCATTGCTCAGTTTTATCAACCTTCAACTCCTAACTCCTCCTCCTTCGTCAAACCTTCTCCAAAACCATGGCACCGACCCTGATTCATTCATATTCGTCACTGCTTCAGCTTAATTATTCTTTGTTTTTATCTTTTCTCCCCGTTCAACTTTTATTTATTCTAAATCATTACTTTTCATTCTGGCTCATGNGACCTTTGAAAGCAGGTGTGTAAGGTTTGACAAGTTTGTACATGAATGGAATTGGGATTTTAAAATTTAGTTTTGTAGATTTTCTTCTATCTGATTTGATAACCTTCTGTGTCGTATTCTTCAAATTCTTTCGTTAAAAATTTTGGATTAATTTTTCTCTTCACGAGGAGCTTTAGATTCTTTGGGATTATAATCTCCATCTTAGAAAGGCCGATTTTATATAGACTTTAGTTAGAATTGCATCAGGATTACTGAAAAGTGAAGAAGTAAACTTAAATCTAATTTGAATGCCAAATTTTCAGGGGAAAGCGGAAAACATCTATTTATCAAGATTTCAATGATAAAATCAAAGGTGGTCTAATTTTGAATAGTTTACGTGCAAAGCAACCTTCTTTTTTTTAGTAGTAAGTTTAAGCTGTCCGATTGTACAAATTTGTAGTTCAATTAGTAAGTTCAAAACCTTTCCTTTTTTATTATGAAGCTCCTAACTCATTTTCTTGTTCTTGGGTATCAAATATTACAAATATTTAATAAAATAGGGCTAATTAGAAAATTTAACAATACCATAGCACAAATGGTCCTAAACATATTTATAAGTTTTTTCAATAAATTCTAAAAAAAGTGTTCAAAAGATACTGTGTAAAAGATCCTTATTTTTATGTGCAAAATAACAACAGACTAACAATATAGCTGTCCAGTGTCATAACAATGGAGCTTTAATGGCTGGTGACAGTCTTGTATACATTCTTTTCTTCATATAGGAGAATACTCCGCTGGGGACGAGAATCCAAGAAGAAATGGGAAGCAAGAAATGTTCAATTATAAATAACAGTTTCTTTACAAACTGTGTTGGTTAACATGCATAAAGTGAAGATTCCAATTAGACATTGATATCGTTGAGGCTTATGATTTCCACGTGCATAACATTACTATAAGATCCAGAAAAACCTACCCTTGTATGTTATGTCATGATCAAGAGAGACGCTGAAGAGGCTCCATGAACATGGAAGAAACGAAGTGGGTGGTCCAAATCAACGAGGAGCTCAAGAATGATGGTATCTCAGCAGTGTATGAAAAGGAGCAATGGCAGAGGCATTCCATATACAAGATACCTTCACGAGTCACTGCATTGAACGAAAGGGCGTACAAGCCTCAAGCAGTGTCATTTGGTCCTTATCATCATGGGGAAGAGCATTTGAAGGACATGGAAGATCACAAGCATCGAGCTCTGCTCCATTTTCTCAAGAGGTGCAAAAAGCCTATTGAGCTTATCTTCCACTGCATGGATCAAGTGGTTGAAGAGTTGAGAGGCTCGTACAATCCACTGGATGAAATCTGGATGCAGGACAGAGCAAGGTTCGTGCAGATGATGATTGTTGATGGGTGTTTCATGTTGGAGATTCTGAGAGCCAATGATGGTGTTCCGGATGATTATGCAGACAATGATCCTGTGTTTGGACAACACGGGAAACTTAATGTGGTGCCATATATCAAACGTGACATGCTTATGCTCGAGAATCAGTTGCCCTTCACGGTTCTTCGTATATTGATTGAGCTTGAGAATGACACAAACCAGGTAACCGATTGCTGTTTTTTTATGCAGAAGGAGTGTAAATTACATTACATGTGTCTAAACTGACTCGGAAATTCGTATATATGATAGGGAGAAGACTTACTGTTGAAGCAAATGTTGAAGTTCTTCTCCGCAGGCACACCTGAAACAAGAACCCTAGGCAAATGCACGCACGTGTTGGACGTCTACAGAAAGAGCCTCATCTACCAAGGACCCACTCACCGAACTCGAGTCTCCAAACCAAAACGCAGAAGAAGGTTCCACGACGACGACGAGATCATCCGCTCCGCAACAGAGCTCCAGGACGCCGGAATCCGCTTCATGAAAAGCCGCACACACAGCCTCGGCGACGTCTCCTTCGGCGGCGGCGTGCTTCGGCTCCCAACCCTAGTGATTGACGACACCACCGAGTACATGTTCCTGAACCTGATCGCCTTCGAGCGGCTCCATGCTGAAGCAGGAAACGACGTCACCTCGTACATATTCTTCATGGACACCATCATAGACAGCGAGATGGACGTGGCGCTTCTACACCGGAACGGCATTCTGGTGAACGCTCTCGGCAGCGATAAGGCGGTTGCGAAGCTGTTCAACTCGCTTTCGAAGGACACTGCTGTGGATCCGCATGGAGTTTTAGATGTGGTGAGGATGAGCATGAGTAACTACTGCAAGAAACCATGGAACATGTGGCGCGCAAATCTCATTCAAACCTACTTCAGAAACCCTTGGGCTATTGTATCGCTTGTTGCTGCGGTTTTTCTCTTCGCCCTTACCATTATCCAAACCGTTTACACCATTGCTCAGTTTTATCAACCTTCAACTCCTAACTCCTCCTCCTTCGTCAAACCTTCTCCAAAACCATGGCACCGACCCTGATTCATTCATATTCGTCACTGCTTCAGCTTAATTATTCTTTGTTTTTATCTTTTCTCCCCGTTCAACTTTTATTTATTCTAAATCATTACTTTTCATTCTGGCTCATGTATATTTGTTTTAAATTTTATTTTTAATTATTGAAGATTTTTAAAAATTTTGGAATTAGTTAAAAACTAGAGACAAAACTTTCATAGGAAATATCAATGTTTTTTTAATTGATGTTGGACTTTGTATATATTTGAGATAAGGTTAGGGAGTAAGAAAGTGGTAAGGGAAAGAGTGTCATTATCATTTTCAAAATAAAAATTACAAAATCTTAATCTTCTCCTAAATAAGATGACACGGAGTAAAAAGTGGTAAAAAATAGTTTTATATTATTATTATTATTTTTTGGTAAAACATGAAAATAGAAAGTTATAATCAATATAATTTTTTATATACAGCTCTTAAATTTTTTTTATACGAAATTACCTTTTTTTTTTAATATTATAGGCGACGTTGAGAGTACATGCAGTCAAGGTAGCCATGGAATCTACACCTCTAAGATCTCATCCTGCACCTCCAAAAATTCCAATTTTATCCTTTTGACATCTCATCATCATCCTGCACCTCCAACTTTTCCAAAACTTTATTTTTAACTTTAATTTTTTCATTTTCTTTTCTTTTTTATTAAAAACAATCTTCACTACCTTAATAATAATTTAATTTAATTTATTTTAAAATTTAAATATTATTTAAAATAATTTTGTATTTTAATAATTATTAAAATATAATTTATATTATAATAATAGTTATATTAAAAACATAAAAATAAAATAATAAAAATAGTAATAATAATAAAAATAAATTTGATTTAATATATTCAAATATATTAAATTATAATAAAATATTAAAATAAATTAAATAATTATTAAATTTTAAATAAAAATAAAAATTTTAAAAAGTTTATTTATATATTAAAATCTATAAAATATGTTAATACTTTGCTTTTTATTTAAAATTTAATAAATATTAAACTTAAATAAAA